GGGCCACCCTGAAAACAGCAAAGAACCAGCCCGCATTGCCTCTGCCAGCAAAAATGGAGCTCGGGAGTGCCCCACCCCCGACTTTGTTTTCGCTGGTAGAGGGCTGCAGGCCATCGCGGCCAAAAATGGGGCCCAGGAGGGCCGTGTGCAGAGGGTAGAGTTCTAGCAAAACAAACTAAAAGCAAAACAAAACAAAAGGAGAAATGTTTCCCATTTTGCATTTGAGCATCCAAGAAGGGACAGGAAAAGAGAAAAGGAAAGAAGAAAGACAAAGAAAAAGAAGGGAAGATGGGAAGAGAGCAAGGAAGGAAAAAGAAGGAAAGAGGGGAAGGAAGGAGAAGGAAGGAAGGAAGGAAGGAAGGAAGGAAGGAAGGAAGGAAGGAAGGAAGGAAGGAAGGAAGGAAAGATTATAATGAGAGGGAGGGACGGTCTGAGGGAAGTCCTGCCTTGGCATTTGGCCACCACAACCCAACACAAGTGATGTCAGGCTAGCTATGCCCACCCTGGCCACACACTTCCCACCCCCCACCCCCAAGGCCAAACACTCCTCTGATGCGGGCCTCAATGAAATCAAGTTTGGCACCCCAGCACTAGAGGGTAGTCAAGAGAGGTAGAAAATTGCAACTCCTTGCTGCCATCTAGTGGCTCATAAGTTAATATTTTTTTTTTTGCCAAAAGGAATGACATTGATTGGACAAAACAAACAAGAAGAATAAGAATTCTGTCCCACATATTCTTTATGTTAAGATTTTTTCTGGTTAGTTACATTGAGAAGGAATTTAATAAAATTAAAATCTGCTTTCTTATATGATGTTCTTATGCTTTGATATCATGTCCTTTGTAATAGAATTTTCATTTATATTTCCTTTCCTTTAAAGTACTGCACAGGAATCTTTGGCGATATGTGTAATCTTAGACATAAAGATAATTTGCTGATACAGAATAATGGCCCCACATTTTAAACCAGCGCCTCCCTGTGTAAGAATGCTTGAGGCTAATGGCATATTCCTTGAGGAGGCAGCGTGAAGCTTGCCTTCCCCTTTCACTTACATTTTGTATAAGTAACAGAATACTCTTATCACAACTTGGAGTTTCAGAGCTTACTTCCACAGCGTACTAAAAAATGAGCACCAGGTGCGCAGCTGACTGCTGCAATCTTCTTTGCCACCCAAACTTGTCAGGATGGCTTTAATACTGGAGCAAGTAAACTAAGCCCAGCAGGTTTTCTCAGTTGCTTTCAATAGCTCATGCCATTCCCCGCTCCCCCGCCTCCCATACATAAAGCAGAGACTGTGAGGTAACTACTAACAGTCTCTTCTCATTGCTGAGAATGATTCTGAATTAAAACAGTGCTCCTATTTTGTATCAATTTTCCAGCCTTGAAATAGATGAAATTTAAATTCTATCTTGGTGTAAAAGTGGGCTTGGGAGCCACAAGCAGTTTTACTGCATCTCCATTAATGAACAAAAGATTGCGGAGAACACAAAGGTCTCCTCTATATTTATCACAAAATGCAATAGTGGAACACAATTTTGGGGATGACATGTTCTGCAAATACTGCATCCTTCTGCCGAGTTCACCATTCTTTACCCTTCCTTAGCTTTTCATGACAAAGTCACCAAAAGGCAACAAATTAACAAGGTTATATTTGCTTTGATGTTATTCTGGCAAGGCCAGTTTTGGGTGACAATGAAGTATCTTGGATCACATCTACAGTAGTTCAACTTCTGATGGGGAATGCATTACCACTACTAACATTAATCACATAAAGGTAGTTCTTGATTTATGGCTAGTCACATAGCAAACGTTTGAAATTATGATATGTTCCTCCCCCGAAAGCTACCTATGACCCAATTTTGAAGTTACAACAATGCCCGCCCGATGGTCATGTGATTGCTTTTTGGGTGCTTGGCAACTGGATCACTTTTAGGGCCATTTGCAGCATCCTATGGTGATGTGACCACAATTTTTGACATTTTTTGCTAGTTTCCAGTGTTTGTTTGTTTGTTTGATTGATTTATATTGCTGCCTATTTGCCCATGGCGACTCAAGGTGGCTTACAAAATGTAAAATCATATTTAAAACAAAAAATAAAAATAAAAACAATAAGAACTAACAAAAAGAATCAAATAAATTAATAAAGTACAATAGAACAAAATTTGGGGAAAAACAAAACAAGAACAAAAACCAACTCCCACCCCCCCTAACCAGATGACAGCGGGTCACACTAGCCATTTGATGGGTTCCATCCCTCTCTGGGTTCCCCAGGCCCACTTTTATTTCTGGTTTTTACCCAATTTGGGGGTAAAATTGATTGCTTCACAACCACCGCATTCACTTAACCTCTACTTCGATTGCTTAACAACTGCCACATTCACTTAACGATGGCTTCAGTCCAGACTAAGTAGTGATCAGTTTAACAGTCCTAACAACTTTCAACGGTAATTCTGAGCTCAATTTGGTTATGTCAGTGACTACCTTTATTTCCTCAAGCCATGAAAATGGGATGATTTGTTTCAGAAAGGATCAATTTGCTGAAAACATCTGCAATTGGGTAAAGGGAAAGCATATATTTGTGCATGGGGGCACAAATATTAGGACACGTAAGCCTATTTAATATTCTGAACTTGAAAAATTAAGTTTCATGTTCAAAGATAAACCTCATAGCACCTCTGCAAGAATATGGCATTTCAGAATCAAGATATTTGGATAATTTGCACAAGTACTGATCATTTTCCTCCTCACGTCTATCCCTTAGAATAGTATACAGAGTCCACTGCATTTTCTAAAGCTCTCACATAGAGATGAATGGAAAAACATTTCTTTCTCTTCCTAATCAAGGCAAAAGAAAGCATCAAGCCTAGGGTTGTTTTTTTCATATATTAGTTTTTGTTTGAAATGTGTTGTTTTATTTTTAGTATAAACCACAGTACAAGAATTTGAAGGCCAAATTGAGGAGAGGAACAAGCTTGATAAAACCATAATCAAGGCATAAATCTGTCTTCTGCGAGAGCTGCAATGGTGTAGGGAAATGATCTGGGGAGACAGGAAGAAGAACCGCAACATATACAATGGTCTGATTTATGAATTTCGAGTCTAAAAGAGGAGGGGTAGCAAAAGCTCCTCAGAGCGGGATCTCCCCAGGTTCGGGGAGATCAAAAGTGTTTTCAGACTTGCAACATTCTGTAACTACAGGCCCCTTTATGACTTGTGGACTTCAACTCCCAGAATTCCTGAGCCAGCTTTGTTGGCTTAAGAATTCTGGGAGTTGAAATCCACAGGTCATAAAAGGGCATAGTTCCCACCTCTGTGTTACTGTCACGTTGCAATAAAAACAGAGTAGTGCTTCTGGTTGTGCTTTGTGACTGGACTATCTCGCAAGGCAAACAAGAGCCTAACATTCATTCAACAGGGTGGAATTCTTCTTAGCTACTCCCTAATGAGGGAGAGGGAGAGAATACTGTTCTATGACAATTCGTTTCATCAAACTTTCCTGTTTTTTGTTAATTGGTTAAGTCTTTCCTGTTTTGGTGAGCAATTGCTTTGCCAGCAATTTGGGAAGGGGTGATAGACATTAATTTTAGAAAGTCTTTATCTGCCGGGTGCATTTCCTTCTTAAAAAATAGAATTGATTTCTTTTTAATTGCTGCAAGCTGCTCTGAGGAACGCAAATGCCACAAGAGGGTGGAGTAAAGATTTTTTCAATAAATTAATTAAATGTGCTGGCTTATTGGCTGGTCATATAGGACTAGCTATAGCTCATCTTCCCCACATCACTCCCCCCCCCGCCCCTAAAAAAAAGAAAATAAAATCCAGAGGACCCAGAAGAAAGAAGATCCCTTAGTCTTGGAATCACCTAATAGTGTCCTCTGTGCCCAAGAAAAGCATATTCTGGTTTGGGGTGGGAAATTGAAGTGGGTACCCTGGGTCTGTCATGAACAAGAGTAATATCAATAGGATTGATTAAAGGGAGGTTTAAAAGATGAGCAATCGTATCTGAACCATATTTGCAGAATGTTAAATAATAAATTGAGTGATGAATCAAGAAAGAAGGAACAGGTCGAACTTCTTCTGGAGACACTACTTCACAGTCCTTTCAGAACATAATGTCATATGAAATATGTTTCAATAAATCACATTCATTTCTTAAGCATCATAAGGCTATTACATAATAAATCAATTACTCCAGCTTTTTTGATTAAGCCTGCCAACATTCGGAATGGTCTAAACTGGTGATTCATTTCTAATACTCTTTATGCCCATTGCTTTTCCAGCATACCATTACTATTCCCATAGTGTCATTACTCCCAGTGTCTATGAATAAAAAGTCTTCCTTGAAAAATCTCTTTTGCATTTTTGCAAAATTATCTAATCAAGGCTGAAATTCAGTACTCATCCCTGCAGAACACAGTGAGACTCATTTGACATTAAACTCGTAGAATTAGTCAGTGAGATTTTTTTATTATTATTATTATTATTTTGAGGCACTATGAGCAACTCACCCTAAAACTGGGTCAAGATTTTCTTTTTTAAAAAAATCTCATTAAAACTAACTGGCACAACTTGACCCATTACATGGAACACAATCCCTTATAAATATATAATGGCCTGGATTGCTCCTCTTTTATACTGTAAGCTGGTAGCAGAATGAATTTGACAATTATTTAGCTTTGACTAGGCTGCTAATAATAGCTGGTATTTTCATTAATTAATAGTAATCCCAAGCAAATTTGATGAATTATCAATTGCCCAGATCTTTCCTAATACCTCTGTTTTATTTTTAGTATATGTGTGGGGGAAACTGTTCAAATTCTGTATTTTGAGAACATTTTGTTATTTCTTTCTGATTTGTAATCAAGAGAAGATTGCCTATGGAATGTACTTCATAAATGCTTGTGGAAATATTTTAAATTATTACCACTTTTAATAAGTTTATAGCAAGTGTGAAATAGCTGTTTAATTGGTGACATCTGTTCTCCATTTCTTCATGAAACAATAGATTCAAAAGACGGACTCACCAATAAGATTGCAGTTAGAATTTTATCTGCACTGATTTCTGGATTAGGTAAGAAAAGTGTAATGGAATACAAAGATCATCACTTTTAATTAAAGTAGCTGAAGTACATGACACATAATGAGTAAATATACAAGTTGTTCTATAAACTCAACATTATTTATAATGCAATGTATGCATTATTTGGGCCACTGGTATCAACTTATAACAAATGAATCATCATTTTGATAACTCATTTCCCTTGGCTTAAAATGAAATTTCATAACATTTCACAGGTATAGAATGATTTTTTGGGTCTGCAGTTTATAAATGGGGTGTTACAAGAGACTGCTATCTGTGTCAGGGCAAACTGCATGAAAAGTGTTACAGATATGCACAAGAACTGCACATGTAAGGTTTTTGAGAAGATGGTAGGCTTGCCGCTTGAAAGGGCCTTGGAGGAACCAGATTATCTGAAGTTGATGTTTAGCTGAGTTTAAAGCCAAGTTATAGCATTGAGAGAACACTGTAGATGACTTTTGGCAAACCTGACCTTCCTTGATCTTTTGATGACCTACAATAGCTTCAGATCACTGAAGAATTGATATCCTTCTGGGCCACTTTAGGAAGTTGGAATCAGTGGTGGTATTCAAATTTTTTACTACCGGTTCTGTGGGAGCGGTTTGGTGGGCATGGTGTGGCTTAGTGGGTGTGGTGTGGTGTGGTTTGGTAGGCATGGCAGTGGAAGGATACTCCATTCCCTCCCCACTCCACTAACCTGCTTTTCAGCTCCATTCTCCTGTGCAGGGCAACCAAAGAAGACCCAGCGGATCAGCTGGGACTCCGATCAGCTGGGACTCGGGAGGCAGCAAATAGATGGGGGCCAACCAGAGCTGGTATTTACCAGTTTTCAGAACTACTGAAAATTTCCACTACCAGTTCTCCAGAACCTGTCAGAACTGGCTGAATACCACCTCTGGTTGGAACCAAAACAAACCTCTGGTTGGAACCAAAACATCGAATAGATTTTAAGGATATCATATATTATGAGAGCCAGTTTGATGTAGTGGTTAAGGTATCCAGCTAAAAAATGGAGAAACGTAAGCTCTAGTGCCTCCTTAGGTACAAAGTCAGCTGGGTGACCTTGCACCAATCACTCCCTCCCAGCCCAGGAAGAAGGCAAGGGCAAGCCACTTGCTGAGAAAACTGTAGGGATTTGTCAAAGCAATCACCAGGTTTAAATGCTAACTCAAAGGCAGGAAAAACAAAATAAAAAGAAACTATAGTTTCACTGAATTTGAGCCAAAAAGTCCATGTGGTCCTTATTCAGTGACATAAAAATGCTGAATGAAAATAGTAGACCAAAAAAAATCAGATCAGTGAACAAATATACAAGCAAGGAATATAAATTGGAAAAAAAGCCATTTATAATATGTAGCATCACAAGTATTGATTATGATCTAATTCTCATCGGAACCAAATAATGTAGCATGTTTTAATGAGATGGAACTGATGATGTTGGAAGATATCATTTACAATGCTTTTTACAATCAGCCCCTCTGAATTCTTTTAAAACTGAAGTTTTTAAGGTGAAGGAAGGAAACTGTGCCTATGTCTAGTTTTCTACATGTAAAAATATCCTTATAATTATTATGAACTGATACCAATGAGGAACTCAGTTTGACCAATGCATTGATGTCAAAGGAATGTCTCACATCTTTTTTTTCACTTCCTTACATGGATAGCAAAACTGTTGGGATGTAAAGTTCTGGAATCAAATGCATGTGGATTACAAAGATGCCTGTTTTTCCTAAGAATCTCCCTCAGAATATTTAAATCAAAATAAACATCTTGAATTATACTCCAGAATACTTTAAGGCAATTATAAATTCAAGATTGGCACACCAATTCCCCAAACACTGGCTCTCTGCAGCACTAAAAACAGTGAGTCTTTAAATGCATGAACAATTCTACAGAATTCCTTTCTATGCCTTGTCATTCAACAGATCTGGCTGAGAACTGAAGAAGCAGAGAGACACTGCAGGGTGAAGGCAGAATGTTAAATATCCTATTCAGGCTGAACACCTGAATAAGTCTAATAATGACTAGATAAGCCTGAAAGTCTTCAAGAGTATATCCTGAAAATAATTGCAAGGATCTCCCCAAAGTGAGTTTAATGCCAGTTATGAAACTTAAATTTACAGTACATAGATAGCTCATTGATAATTAGAAAGATTTGAACATCTTTGCATACAGATTATGATTGAAGGGATGGTATACATTCCCAAATGTTTCTGATAAAACTAAGCTGACTGCAGAAAAGAATTTTTGCTGCAGCAAGTGGATGGATGGATGGATGGATGGATGGATGGACAGCCATTTCAAGACAATGGGGATACTTTTAGAATTAAAGTTCTTTTGCAACCAGTTTAATATGGTAATGACTTCAGACCTGATCTTTATCATGGAAATGCACATTTCTGCTGGACAGCACATTGCAATGAATTGTCTACCTTAGACCTGTACATTAATAAGAAAGTAATGTTTAAATTGAGATTATAATTCTGTTAATTAGGGAAACATTTTGATACACTGTAATAAATAACCCTCATACCTGTGTTTGTTTTGCCAAAAATAATTAAAACATTGAGAAATTCATTATTTTAATCATTAACATGTGTCCTGGCGGGGGTGGGGGTGGGGGGGCAGGGAGATGCTGTTTTTATTCCTAAACAAAAAACTGATTCTTAGTAGCCAATTTCACATATAAAAAAGAGGTCTTCTTCCCATTCTTTGAAAACCATACATGATAGACCTTTTTTGGGGAAAAAAACCCTTCAAGTTGTCAGTAACATTTCCACACTGCCTCATTCAAGATATATCACTTCATCTAATGCAAGCAGAATTTAAGTCCTCGGACAGATGACAAATACATTTGGGAATAAAAATGTTCTCCTCCAGTGATGCAATGCAAAGGAAGAATTAAATCAGCTGCTGAGCTTCCGGATGGTATCATCACTGTTATTTCTACCAGGATTCCACTTACTTTACTCTTCAATTTAAGATTAAGTTGAACAGAATGGCAAATTTCCATTTGGGCCTCATGGTCCTCGGGATTCAGGCTCAGCTTCTCGATTTAAAGAGAATCTACCCCCTTACATGTCCAGTGGGATTGTTGCTTCCTCTACCTTTTTACTTTTTTTTTTAAGGTATTATCTACCAACAAGTTCACTTGGCTTTGGTGGATTATCAGGCACTACATTTTGTATGATGAAAGGAACTAAGATCCCAAAAGATACTCTCTAAAACTAAAACACAAGAAGACAAGGAATGGTTTCCCTAATAATGTACTGTACAAGTAACCTCGTTTTCAACTAAGAATTTTTCAACAATGGGAGAAGTATGGCTTATTTTCTGAAACAACTGATCAGAACCACAGCAGTCACAGTTTAGGAAAGCATGGAAGAGGGTACAGAGTACTTGTTTTTCCCCTGCCAAGAACAATGTGACAGACTTTTAAATACTGTTCGTTTGCTTGTTTGTTATCATTACATTTATTTACCGCCCATCTCATGCTGGGTCTACTCTGGGCAACTTACAACAGTAGAATGTAAAATTATTTTAAAAATGTAAATACAACTGTAGTAAAACAATGAAACAATAACTAATGAAAGTACAGCAATGTGAATTTTAAAAAAAAATGGGTGGGAGGGAGCAGGATGTGCAGGGAGAGAGATGGGCTCTGCAATTAGTCTAAATAGCCAACTCTAGTGGGCTATTGGGACCCCAGGCCAAACAGCAGAGCCAGGTCTTCAGGCTCTTATGGAAGGTCAGGATGTTGGAGGCAGTCCTCACCCCAGAGGGCAGGATGTTCCAGAGGGCTGGCACTATGGCAGAGAAGGCTCTTCTGGTACCTGTCTTAACAGTTCCTAGTTAGGCCATTCATACATGTATGTGATACAATCTATGACTGATGGGCAACTGTCTTTTAGGCATGGGACTGCCCCAATCATGTCCATGATTGTACCAAAAATTGTCAAGTGCAGGAAATCAGGAGCTTCAAACGAATACTGCATGCTTATATTCTCTACAAGAATCTGCACTACTAATGGCCAAAGTCAATTGGTGATAGATAAGAGTCAATGGAATGCAGGGTGGGCTGAATCTAGATCTCTTGTGGGTGCAAAGAGACTCAAGACTGTTGATGTACTTGACCCTTCCCTTGGGCTCAGCCTGGTCATCTCCTGCAAAGAGGAGATATATTGTACAAAGAATGTGTTCTTCCATTGAGATATGGTGTTTACCATAGACAACACAGCATGATTTGTGATGCTTCAAGACCTGATTCTTTCTATTATGTAATGGGAACTTTCCTCTGCCTTTTTTCAGCAACAGTGGCTCATAGCAAACAATGGGTTCGCCTTATGATTGTGGCTCTTGCTTAATACCTGTGGCGGTCGATTATGACCATTATGACTTTTTATTTAACAACTGTCACAAAAAAGATCATAAAACTGGTCTGGTCACAGGATAACTCACTTTACGACTATCATGAGTCACAACTAATGGCCAGTCTCTATTATGTCATAAATTGAGGATTACCTCAAAAAACAGGACATGTTCCAGTGTTATCCCTCTGCTCAAATTTTAAGGGCTTCTCTTTACAAAAGACCAAGTGTTCAAAGTTCAGATTATTATTCAAAATGCCCCCAATTTGAATCCATTTTATAATCTAGGCATATCATTCAAATGGAAAGAAAGTGACAGCTCCTACAGGAGGTTGCTGAAACTGGTTCAGTGAAACACTTCACTCACAATCTTGATGTAGCAATGTGTGTTTATTATGGCTTCCTCCACCAGCAGCAACAATCGGAAAGTCTGAGTAAAGCCAGCGCTGAGAGCGTCTGCCTCTCAACGCTGTTTATATTTCCTGTTCACCCCCATTAATTAGCTAACATCCGCCCTTAGCAAAACACCCAACATCCATCTACAGCAATCTCATGCGCTACCACCCAACCCCCCAAATAACACCTTCCCCCTCTCTGAGTGTCATTCTTCCACCCCGATCCACCCGATATCTCCTATGTGGAATGCTGACCAGCCAAAACAACATCCCGAAGTATTTCCTGGCTGGTAAAGAAGAAGAGTGGGAGGCGTTGTGCTTAGAGCTTTGCAAAATGCCAAACAGCTGATAAGGCATTTTCCCAGCCGGTCGCACCGAAGTGGGGAGAAGTGGTTGCACCTGACTTTGTCAGCTGCCATCGACATCGACTGGGGACCTTCAAGGTAGGTAGCTCTGCCCCAACCATAGCGATGTGTCGGGCTTCATTCCGTCAGCAACGTTGTTAAAGCCCAACAGAAAGATTGAACTACTATTTAGAGTGATTAGGATCAATAATTTTGGGTTTCAATCAGGGGTGGGATTCTACCAGTTCGCACCTATTCACTAGAACCGGTTGTTAACATTCTAAGCAGTTTGGAGAAGCGGTTGTTAGAAGAAATTACTGGCCTAATCCTGTAAGGAAGGCAAGAAGGAAACATTCTGGTGTTGCTTACAGAAACTACCTCTCTGTTAACCTTATTACATTCTTGGCAGGACTAGACTTGTTGTCTCAGGAACTTCTCTAGAGTTTTTTCCCCCTCCTTTGCTGGTACTTTGCTTGTGTGGAGTGACCATTCAAAGCTACAATGGCACTGAAAAAAGTGACTTATGACCATTTTTCACACTTACGACTGTTGCAGCATCCCCACAGTCATGAGAAGCCAAGCGAGGAGATGCGGGCCTTGATGTGAGTGATATTGAGTTGGCCACGCCCAGCCAATAACATGACCACCAAGCCACGTCCACCCAATCACATGACACCAAGCCACGTCCACCAGCTAATCCATGCCCACAGAACCGGTTGTTAAAAAAATTGAATCCCACCCCTGGTTTCAATGCTAAGGCTAGCTTGGTATTATAGGAAGAAGCATTATTGTTCTTCACAAACACAGCAGCTATGTTTATTTGTTCTGATACAATCCTCTGGAAACAAATGAAAGAAACCCTAATGATCAGTAGTCATAGAGATTAAATGAGGAGAAACTAAGATTAGGACATTTATTTCAATCAAACTGGTAACTCTCATGTTCTGCAGAAGGAACTGTAGGCTAAATATTTTTTTTTCATACTGATTCTAAACTTTTTACAATTCTTTTCCATTTTCTTAAATAATAAAACACATTTTTCCTGGAAGCAATTATAGCACATCTGCACACAGCGGTATGTGGTATGGAGATGCAAGTTACGGTAATGAAGAAGTGGCTCGTTTATTGAAAAAGTGTGCCTGCCCAGAAGATTTTAGTATACGCACTAGTTAAATCAAGCAAAAATCAGCTGCTGAAATAAAAAGAAAGCATGAAGTCGATTATGACTACCAAAGGGGATTAAGGAATAATCACAAGCATTTTGTTTTTAAAGTAATGTCTATAATCACATAGGTTACAACAGAAAAAGTAACTTCGTTGCTTTGTCATCCCACTTTTTATTTGAAGTGTAGACTGTGGTATCTAAAGCAGAACATCGAGATTCAGCATGTGTATATGTGTGTTATGTATGAGTATGGGTAGATATATACTTTCTTTTGAGAGCAGGCAACAGAATTTCATTTGTAATATGGGCCAGTGTGCTCACAGAAAAAAAATGAAAATAAAGGTTATCTTATCATATCTTATCTTAAACATTTTGTTTCTCATAGCCAATTTACAGTTTATTATTATTTTTCATTTATTTCAGGTTGTCAGAGCTGTATGGGTCAGCTGTATTAGATATTGATAGATAGCTTTATATACCTTGGAAGAGTGTTTATTAAAGATAAGGAAATGGAGAGAGAAATGTTGAGACATATGGAGTCCTTGGTGTTCTCTGAGTTTTATTCTTTTCTTGCAGATGTTTCATTACCCAACTAAGGTAACATATTCAATGCTAGATGGGAGAACGGTTTTCTCTGTGTTTATGCAGTGGTTTACCTGGTCAGTATTGGTGGGGGTGTTGTTTTCTTATTAGTAGTTTCTTGATTAGGCTGTTGTTTACCAATTGTCTGAATTAGTAGTTATTGCTTGA